TTTGCTCAAGAAAGGGGGTTCGAATAATAAATATGAATTGTGACTTATTTACTACAAGAATGTATTTCTGCCAAAATTCGATTACCCTCATGGTTTCGACAAAATTTGAATTTTAGTAATTCAAAGCATATCAGTCAACATTAAAACGATCAACAGATATGTCATGAAAATTCTTCAAAATGTTCATCATTTTCACGAATACCTACAAAATTGAGTAAAACCTCAAGTGCCCTTTCGGAGTTGAGAAGCAAAATCGATTTTGAAAATGTAACTTCAGAGCCATCATCTAGCGTCCAAACTAAGCAACTTTGTACTGAGGTAAGTTTGCTTGTATCGAATTGTTTCGGTCTGAGGAATACGTGATGTTTTTGTAAAGACCTTTTAGGAACACCCTGTATATTGATCTTTCCAGGCTGATAATTTTTCTTTACTGTTCCACTTGCCCGGAGTGATTGAACCTAGGATTGATGCAATCAATTTCTCGCCTACACTTTGCCCCAGATTACATGGACATAAATAAACACGTAAAGGGCAATACGTATGTAAGTATGGTAAGTATACCGGGGGTGACCCAGATCTTTTCATACAGTCAATATTTCAGTTAAGCTGCTTGGGAAAGAAATAAAAATATTACACTTTTGTCAAACCCATATATAACTTTGAAGCCGTTGTGTCAAAGTCAACTTCTGTCAAAATACCCCTGAAAAGTCGCTCCCAACTGCAATTATTCAAGTTACACCCTATAATTTTTTTTGTTGATTTGTGAAGTGCAATCAAATCTAACTTCAACGATGTATCACATTTGATATTTTGACATACGTAATACTTCCAAAATTACAAAATTCGAAGGTGCACGCGTCTTTCAGAAATGTTTTTTTTTACAGTTGTTCGTGCACAAGTATTTTAGTCAGTTTGTAGCAGAGTTACTTATCTCTGGTTTGTAGGTACATCGAACTAAAGACAATCTCTTTTACATTTATTCCGAATGAGTATTCGGTCAATTGGACATCAGTCAAATCATCAAAAAAATGTTTACGGTGTAACTTGAAAATAATTGAAGTTGGGGGTGGCTTTTCGGGGGTATAGTTTGACAGAAGTTGACTTTGAAACAATGGCGTCGAAGTCATTTGGGTTTGACAAAAGTGCAATTAAAAAAAAAATTCAAGTAGCATGACTCAGATATTGGCTATATGAAAAGATCTGGGACACCCGGTACCTACTGATATTGAAGAATTTCGAGAAATAATTGAAGAAACAGTAAAAACACGTTTTGATGACTATCCTACTGTTTATGATTCCCTCAGCAAATTCCGGTCGAAATACCAATTTCAATTATTATATTCCTAAAAAAAAAACAGTTTTTAGATAGGTAATTATGAATATTCGCATCCTATCAGGATATGTTTGCTTTCATATTAATCGGCTGCTCAACAAAACAGAACCCCACAAAATCACGTGACTCATCTGGTCAATAAGATACCGCCATTCGATTTTAAGCTCCGCCTACTTTTGAATGATAGTAAATTCAAATGCTCGATCGTTGACATTATTATTTACTCGATCACCGAGATCAAGTCTGGTGATGTCTATCTAAAAAGTCCTGAAACTTCGGCACCCTTTGGTCTGACCAGAATAATTCATAGTGACCATTGAAGTGCTCAATCTATTTTCACCTTTCGGAATGAAAATATTAACAGAAAGGGATATCGGCTAGCTCCAGTTGATTTGTATAGACCGAAGAGCGGGTTTCTGTCGCGAGCCAAACTATAGAAATAATTTCTATGCGAAATGACGTTGAGGGAGAGATACGTCTCAGAAATTCAAATGTGTATTGGCAAACTGGATGATGCCGAGAACGAAAAACCGCACAATTTGTACACAAAGCGCGATTTCGTCTTCTGACTGCTTATTATGGTACCGCTCCGACATATTCATATTCACCATTATATAGCATTATCATTATTATATTGTCGCCTCTAGAATTATAATATATAACAATAATTTAACATTTCCAGCATATTAATACTCTACAGAATACTCTACTGGAATACCGAACAATATCATCTACTCGATCACATCTCCGGCAAATCTCACCTCTATATTCAACAGAAGGAGGAACAGTTATAATCATAATCCGAGTAACTATTTTGATGTTTTCATCATTATCATCATCATCACTCCTAAAATAATAACACCATATTGAAAATATTTGACAAAACTAATTTCAAAAACCCCACTCAGTTGGGGAGACGGCAACATTTTTTTTTACACATCTGATAATGAATAATTTCATTATTTTCGTGTCTTATTAACGCCTTCTAGACATAAAACTCCTGCCGGCGCACTATCTTATCTTAGCTTTTCAATATTGTTTAAAAAACGAATAAATGACAAACGAGATAAAAGTTATTGGCCACAATATTTATGTTCAACATTCCGCAATCTCATCATCATTATGATCTGGGAGCTGTTAATTTCAATTTTTTTTTTGGCAAAATTACTAATAATTTATTCCATTAAAAAAATGGGATGACCAAGCATCAGGTGCTAGAGTAGTTCATAAACATGATAATTGTGGTCAATAAGTCGATACAAATGAGATGAACACTATAATCCTGACACATCATAAACAAGTATGAAGTAGCACCAAAATTAATTATCACATAGATATCTCGAAAATCAAGAAAAATCATACAAGAACTATAGCTAGAAAAAGTTAGATAATTGATTATCAATTTTGTCATTCATTGGAATATCAAAATGTGGTCAGTGGCGTACTCTAAAAAAGTTACATCATTTATCATCAAAGATAATGCGAAATACTGATCTCCCTGTATATTGATCAAATTGCCCTATGAATTTTAGAGCAGTCGTACCATTCAAAGTTTTGAAATATTCCAGAAAATCTTAAAATAATTCTTCAGTGCCCTCAGCTCAACGGTGCATTTTCGCATAGAGGTAAGTTAATTCCGATCGGTCTATTCAGGTGTGTAGTTCACCCTGTAGACTTTATGGTACGTTGTTCTGGGACTCGAAACAGGTGGCAGGAGGTAATTTTTTTCAACTGATATGTCATTGAACGATTAGTTAAGTTCAAGCTTTTATCATGTCTGTCATTCACTTGTTTTTTTTACAGCATTGATAATGTGCTGGTAATGCACCGGAAGTGGGCGGAGTTATGCACTAGGTTTGCACGGAAAAACATGAAACGGAACACTAATCATGCGTTTGCTGTGCTCGCTGCATGAAACGGAACAGGTCCGCTGATAAGCGTTGTCCCGAGATCGAGGTGGCAGGAGTGGATTTTGTTGATTGGCTATATCATGACAGCAGATAAAAATATGAACCAAGCGTTATCAGATAAGACATTGAAAACGTCGCTGGTCCTCGGGCTATATTGGGTCCATAAGCGGCGAACACATATATCGATAGCCCTGTAAACCCTAGGTCACTCTTTTATGAGATCGGCCACATTCTCGACATCGGCGGAATCACTTGACGCAGAACTATATCCGGACGTTGTGGCCTTTTTCTAGAATTGTAATTTCGATCAATTATTTTAACACTCAGTTACTGCTTCACCTGCGACAAAATGGCACTTTTGGAGGTTAGATTGCTGGTGAGGATATTGCTGGTAGGGATATCGTATCCTTCTTCAGCAACAGACATAAACATAACACATAGGTATTCAAGATATTCAATGAGAGAAAAATATCAACAATAAAGAAGGCTAGTATCCTTACAACCAAGCCAACATTAAATAAATGCCTTGTTTTATCGCGCGCTATTTTTTGCACGCTTTTTTGTCACGCGGTTTTGTTGGGCGCTGCATTGTTGGGGTCTGTCTTGGTACATAGCCCTAAATTTATTACAGTCGGATGTTTGATGCGGCCATTTGAATGAGAGATTGGACTCCTACTCCTACTGCTAAAACTGGGTGAAGTAAGTAAAATTCCAATGAAATGCGGCTAACACTTATTGTATTCCATCCCATGAGAATATTGCCCCCTCCAGAAGAACATGTTGGTGACGTATACACCATACACCAATACAGAACTGAATGTCTATTCTGTATGAGTTTTTATTGTTGCCAATAAATTTTATGTCACCAAAGATGAAAGTTTAATTCCACCAGTTTTATATGTTAGGCACTCAATAGATATTCTACCCTCTTCCATGTAATGAAAGTGATATCGAGGGAACTGTCCTAGTCTCTTTCCTAGTCACTTTTCCATATGTATATGAATACTTACCTATACCATTTTCTATTTGGTAAATCTCTTATGTTTAGAATATTTGTGTTACCGGAATAAATATAATAAACTCAAGGCCTGAGAATGCTCATGGTATACTAGCGAATGGCACCATCTAAAAATATATAGCACTCAAGATAAGATTTGGGGCAAAAGGAATACAAAAATCTACAACTATATCTAAGAACAACATGTGTTGATGGTCTCCACCATAATGGTTTGAAAATAACCTACAGATAGCCAACATTGGAGTAGATAATGTACATTTGTTTGAAACCTCTCATTTCAATTGGCATTATGTATAGGTATCTCCAATTCGATTATGAGAAATCGGGAGACGCTATATCAATTCTGATGTCAGTATCATCAAATTTTTATGGGGGCTGCAGGGTTTATAAGGATTTCGATATCCCTGAAGCGGAGTACTTGATTTTTTCTCAATTTTTTGTTCCACTTTTGAATATTCTGATGGGAATTGCACTAAAGCATATTGCTATGTATACCTATTGCCCTCTCTTCATTCAATGTTGGAGTATTTTCCACCCACTGTATAAATATAGCCGATTACCACTCCATACTTAAAAACATCTGAGCAAAGCGAGAGACTGAATAATCTGAGACTAATACAATTGATGACATATTTTTTTCATGGAATTGTCGGAATTCTCTCCAATATCTATTCAAGAACCTCCTTCAAAAATTACTTAGTAGTTGAAAATTACCTAGAAGTGCACCTAAGCCAATCTCTTAGTCCCCGCGATATTTCACAATATTATTTTCAGTTTCATGTACTTCCACTTCATACAGCAAATCAGGCTTTTGCATTATTTCTTTCATTCTCATCCATATGAAAATAGCTACATTTTCTGTCGTACTAGGCCTGGTTGAGAAGTAGTCAATATCCTTATCCAAATTTTTATGATCCATTGGTTTCATGATGGCTTCTTCCATATACTTTTTTAGATCGGTCATGTTCATGATCATACCTGTCTTTGTGTCAATCTCCCCAAACAAAGTTACATTTACTGAAATAGAAGAAGAAATAATTCAATGATTATAATAAAAATAATTTCAACGTCAAACCAAAATGAAAAACGCGATTAGACCAAGACTGTGCAAGAACCAGAAGTAAAAATTGGTGTGTCTCATAAGTTACAAGCGTCTAGCTTCATCATTTCTATCGATTGCTCTCTGCATTCTCGCGCGTACATGAAGTCACGCAATCAGTTCTTTATTCACAGAAATAATTTTCAAGCCCGCAAATGGTGAAGCGAGCTGTACAATTAGGGCATATACCTACTTAGGTATATGACTTAGGGTCCCTTGATGTAAATTGACATATTTGTTATCTTAACAGGGTACGGACAGATCCTCGTCTCCTCTCACTCTAAAGTGTTTTTGAAACAGTTATATATGTTAGGCACCCAATAATTATTCTACCCTTCATTTCTGGGGATAAACACTAGCTTTCTGACATTTGTTGTTTTTTAGGTTATATTGAGGACATCATACGAGATTTCCACATGTAATTCCTCATTCAACTCTACATTTTATATCCAAATGATGATGATAATTCTCGAGTTTTTGATTTTTCAACTCCAGCATAATCTTTGTGAGACAGTGAGCAAATTTTTCTGAAAGTTTAATACGTTTTACCAAATGGGACTGTTGTTAGGCAGTACCTATCAATAAATGAATTTTGATTTCAGACTAAGCCTTATGGTTGAGAAATGGTGACAAATTTTATGTAGGTATTCAAACTTATGTGCTCATATGTCATGTGTGCTGTATATATTCATGTTGGGACTCATCTTTGCAGTTTTTCACGAACACTTAATATTTCCTGAATGTAGGCATAATTTTTTAAATGGTAGGGCATATGTCTCTTCTTTTAATCCTCCGTTTCGATCAAAACTGTTTATACTAAAATGCATTCAAAAACTTGTGGAGTGGAAAATTTTAGGTACAATGAGAAAGTATAATATGTGACTTCGTATCAGTTTCACCTCGAATATTTTGCTCATGCATTTACCAATTTTCCCCATTCGGTCACTTCACTTTCCATGTTCTAAGTTCATTTGCATCCGATGGAAAGCTGACAAATTCAAATTTGCCATCCAACTGATTGATACAGCCTAACGCAGCACATTTCACCATCTTTCCAATATAGAATAGAATAATGTCGTATTCAGATAAAGTAAGAAATTGAAATTTTGTAAGATCTCTTTTAACGCCTATCATGTCAGGGACGCCAATATACGAAACCAAAGTCACTAGATGATTAAAAGAGAAACGAGCTATGATCTGTCCGTACCCTGTTAGATGACAAATACGTCAACTTGCATCAAGGGACCCTAGTACAACTGACTGTCACGCCTGCGGCTCTGGTTCAATCCCTGCGAGGGTCAACTTTTTTAACTTTTGGTTCATCAAGTAATTTTCCAAAAAATATACTTTTGAAAGAATATTTTCCTACTTTATATTACGTTATTACCTACGTCCTTGGAATTCGGCGAGCTACTAATGAAAATGGAATAGCTAGAAACGCTAGTGCAACCGTCCATCTGCCGATCGATAGTGGACACTGGCTCACATTCTGGATAGAGAATTTCTCTAGATTGAGAATAGGGAGTTGAAGATTACAGGAGAGAACACGTTGATAGTCATCAAGTCGAAATGATCCTGGTATGAGATTTCAAACATCATCCGCATTTTGTTTTGGATGGATATTTTTATCTGAAATTCTGATGTGTCGTCTAGAGAATTGTGAAGACATTTCAAATGAGATATCACACGGCACACTTTTCCATTTTGAAAATCTCCCCAAATGGAGTACAGAATGTGTAACACATCTGATGGAATATCGATCATCTGGTAACTTTATGAGGCACCAAGGTTTACTCCTGGCACATGGTCTGAAAAATATATTTGTTTTTGTTGAAGTAGAATATGGTCCCTTATGATTTATGGCTTATTGTTGATAATAAATTTGTGTAAATAATAATGATGTTTATTCACACAAGAGGACTTTTGAATCGGTGAACGTGACAAGCGCGGCGCCCGACTTGTGGACGTGGTCTTGTCCGTTCTCAGCATTCAGCACAATGTTGCCAAGTCTCCCACATTTACATGATATTTTGTGTGTATTTGTGAAAAAGTCAAGAATGAAGACAAATATTTTTGATAATTTAATTGTGTATTCTCTTAATGTATTGAACTTCGCACATCATTATAATTATCATTAATATCATTATCATCATGATCATCATTATCATTGACAGTATAATCATTATAATCACTAACATTATCATCATCATCATAATCATTGACAGTATAATCATTATAATCACTATCACTAATCACTATCATTATTATTATAAACACACAAACACAAAAAAGTTTCAGTCGAGTCTAGTGAACATCTCCAGGACAATATTTCGATTTTAAAGTTCGAGAACTCATTCTCTCCAGTAATGAATAAACTTGAAAGCTAACACAGTTAGAAAGAATGATGGGTGTTCGATATTTGCCACTGGTTTTACAAATCAATAAAATTTGCATAGATTCGCTATTTTGGTTTCTGAGGGTTTGAAATTATGAACTATTCCATTGTGGATCTTTTCAGTTCTCAGGACTCTTAAAAGACATCAAGACTATTCAAGTACCAGTTTCGTCGATGTGCGGAATCTCTTGGACAACTTCGTTTTACCCGTTCTAAGACTCATTCTTTTCAGAAAAGAATCGACCAGAAATAAAATATCACAGTTTTCAAACACTATCAAGTATTCAAGCCAACGGGTTTTACAAATTAATAAAGTTTGCATGGATACGCTATTTAATTTTTGGAGACTTTGGGGATTATAGATCATGCTGAATATTATCACTTCAGCATTCAGCAGACTTCAACGGAATCAATATTGGTTGATCATCGCCAGGAATTTTCACGTTCTACTTCTTCAGGAATTATGGAATTACTACTACTTGGGATGAAATATCAGTTTGAAAAACATGTGCTCGATTAGCCAGTGAACTAAAGAAATCGATAAAGTTTGCATATATCCGCAATTTTGTTTTGGGAGGTTATTCTTCCAGGTTTCAGAGAACGCCAAGAAAATCGGTTGAAAATCCACAGAACGAGAAGCGAAATAAAATGACAGGGTTTTTTTGACGTGTTATATTAATAAAATCTAATCATAATTTTTTTATTGAATCGTTCTAATTTTTGCCATACCTTCGTAGTCGTTTGGAAAAATCTTATCAAACCCGGCATTGTTGAATTTGTAATAATGAACTCTACTTGAATATGGAATAATATACTGGGTGTCCCTATTCAAATAGGAAAGTTTAGGTGCACTTCGGTCTGACCCTGTATACCTACGATTTATGCAATAGTATATTTCGAGTGAGCATCATCAAATATACTGGGTGACCAAATTTCAAGTCATTTGATCGCGCGGTTGATTTTTTTCAGGGGGAGACATTTTAGCTGGGACACGGTGTATGTTTTTTAAATGAACCTGACTAATAGGTCATAGGGTATGCAAATTCAAATTTGAGTAGGTCCATGCATTTGCGAGTCTTGCGTTTTTTCCACACTCAAAATTATGCAACCAATTACTGTGACCTCGAATTAACTACTTTCCCGATATCGTGCGAGGGAGCAAAGTGAGATCCATGTTTCAATATTAGTTTCTTATCATCAGGTAAATTTGCAAAAGTTTTGTATTATTTCTGAGAATGATAACTTTTTTTTGTTTCTTCTACATTTGACATAGTTCCCGAATTCTTTGGTGGTGGCAAATTTCATATGTTTTTGCATTATTTCCATAACCAACTCAAATTGTGAACACAATTTTTTATTGTAAAGTAAAATAAAGAATATGTTGCGGTCATCGGCGGAGATGGCAAATTTTCTGAGAAATTCGTGACATAGATAGAAGCATCTCTACAAGTTTGCCACTCTTTTAGATTTTCTTCGGACGAGTTCTTAACAAAAGTATGAATAAATAATTTATTCACTGTGATGCCACACTTGGAAATGGTCGCATAATGAGAGAACGAGAGAGGATTATATTTTTTTTGTTTTGACCATTTTGCGACTCTTTTGCATATTTTCTCTGCAAAAACAACAAAATTGTTTATATTTACATTTTTAACAATGTTGACGGCCTTGTACGAGGGGGCAAATTTGTATAGTTCCATTTTACACCAAAATACAACTTCTGTGTCAGTTTAAAATCTTTTGCTATTTTTTCTCCATTTTCGCTAAAGTGATTGGCCTAATGGCCTTGGAAAACAAGAATGATATAGCTCCAGAAATGGACAATATATCCAACAGCATGATTCAAAACATTCCTACAAATATGAAGACAAAAATCCTGGAAATGTACAACAAAATACTGAAAAGCGAAGGCAGAACTCCAAAGGAACGGAAAACGCAGTGAAACAAGGAAAATACCCGAACCACCACGGAAGCTACCGAGCACTAGTACTATCATCGTGCATAGGAAAAGTGCTAGAAAACATGATCAAAAACAGAATTGAGTTCACATTGGAAAAAAGAATTCCATGAGCTACAATATGAATTCAGAAAGGGAACAGGTGTCACGGAATGCACAACATGGCCACGCGTATATACAGAAACATAACGATACACCATGAAACAGTAGTCATATTGCCCGACATTTCTGTATCATATGACAATGGACTAGTCCCAAAGCTCATTGAATACTTAAACAGGGCTAACCCAACAGCTGATATGATATCAATCATTCAAGACCTGCTGGAACAGAGGGAAAGTCACCAACTACAGGAGCATCTCAGCCCGCTGCTATTCAATATTTACACAGCTTCCTTAGCAGCAGCAGCAGCAGCAGCAGCTGGGGGAGAGGTCGATATTGGTGTTCCACAAGGTAGTGTCTTGGGTCCTCTTTTATTCATCTTATATACTAATGATATTAATAGAAGCTCATTTACTTTTTTCACTGTCTTCGCAGCCCTTGAAGTAATCAAAACTAATTTTGAT